AAGGGAAATGGTGTCCACAAAAATGTTTGGGAGCACAACTGTTTGTATGAAGTGACTGCGGGGAAAAGATGGAGACAGTCCCTCCAGGCGTCAGGATCCACCAGAGAGAGGACTTGACAAAGTTGTCGGGCATCAAGTCACCTCTTGTTGCCTCCTCTGCCCGAGAAGAAGAAATGCGTTGACTGGTGTGAGAGGAGTCAGAGGGAAGTCAGCTTTCTCAGTCAGCTCGTGCGTTTGAAGACTAAAAACTTCAAAAGCAAGGTCCCCGGCAGGGAGGTAGCAGCCAGCCCTCTGAGTCACCCTGACCTGGCTGCAGAGCTGGGCTGGAATGTCTGCGCTGTCGAGGAGGATGGGGATGGTGGTGGGGGTGGCGGTGAGTCACCAGTGGGGATGGGCAGAGCCAGCAAACCCCAAATGCTCTTCTGCTGTTACAGTTCTCATTCCTGAGATCACAACACAGAACCCAGGAGGGGCTGGGAAAGGGGACCCGGGTTTCTCTTGCCATGGTACTGCCCATCACCCCTTCTCTGAATCTCACTCTGCTGATTGCCTAGCCCCTGTAATGCCTCAGAAAACTCCAACCCCACACACTCTTTCTACCTGTGTGGGCATTGGGCCAGTTGGGGTGTCCTCCTGGCCCCCATCCCCTATGTTCTTTCTGACTCCTCGTATGCTAGGAATTCTCCATAGTGAAATGGGAAGAGAGAGGCTCTGCTAATTCCAAAGACTCCTCCTCCACGCCCCTAGCCCCAAACCTGCACAGAACTCTGCATACCAGGGTACTTCTTTTTATGCTGTGGACAGGCTGGCTGAACTGCCAGTTGCATTTATTGAACGATTTTGACCAAGTCCAGCAGACCCTTCCAATCCTCAGAAAATTCCTAGGGTCAGAGGCCAAGCAAGGTGGCTCACACCTGTAATCCCAGCACTTTGGGAAGCCAAGGTGGGTGGATCACCTGAGGTCAGGAGTTCAAGACCAGCCTGACCAACATGGAGAAACCCTATCTCTACTAAAAATACAAAAATTAGCCAGGCGTGGTGGCATGCGCCTGTAATCCCAGCTACTCAGGAGGCTGAGGCAGGAGAATCGCTTGAATCCAGGAGGCGGAGGTTGCAGTGAGCCAAGATCACGCCACAGCCTGGGTGACAGAGACTCCATCTCAAAAAAAGAAAAAAGAAACTTCCCAGGGTCATCTTTTCAATTTCCTGCCTCCCAGTATGCCTTTTGGGGGAGCTGTGGAACCCCCTAGGAGTTTGGCCTCATGTCTGATCTCCCCTGATCCTCCCCACATGTTCTGTTGCTTCTGGGGAGTGTGCAACTTGCAGACTTGAGCAGGAACTCTGGGCTTGGGGGCTCCCCACAATCCCTGTTCCTGCCTGCCCTGCCCTGCCCTGCCCTGCCTACAGGGTCCAGGCCATATTCTTTCTTGTCTGTCCACTGCAGGACATGAGGGCCAAAGATCAAAGGGAAATTGGGATGGGGCTGCAGAGAGGGGGTGGGGTGGGGATTTAAAGTACACTGGCTTGGACTGGACGTGGTGGCTCATACCTATAATCCCAACACTTTGGGAGGCCGAAAACGGACAGATCACTTGAAGTCAGGAGTTCAAACCCAGCCTGGCCAACATGGTGAAACAGTGTCTGTACTAAAAATACAAAAATTAGCCAGGTGTGGTGGTGCTTGCCTGTAATCTCAGCTACTTGGGAGGCTGAGGCAGGAGAATTGCTTGAACCTGGGAGGCAGAGGTTGCAGTGAGCCGAGACCATGTCACTGCACTCCAGCCTGGGAGACAGAGTGAGACTCTGTCTCTAAATAAATATAAATAAAGTATACTGGCCTTCAGAGCAGCCCACCTCCAAAACAAATCCACAGAGTACAAGGCAGGGGCTCATGGCTCCTGGAACCCATCATAGAACCTTCCTTGGCCGGCCATGGTGGCTCACGCCTGTAATCCAAGCACTTTGGAGGCCAAGGTGGGCGGATCACCTGAGGTCGGGAGGTCAAGACCACCCTGACCAACATGGTGAAACCCCGTCTTGAAAAAAAAAAAAAAAAAATCTTCCTTGACTCTAGTTTGGCTGCAGACTCAGGGTTCCCAGGGAATGCTGTCCACTTTTCTTGGACACCGCTGCCTCCAGGCAGGAGGCAGGTTTGGACACAAGCCCTTCTAAGCTCATTAACTGTGTTGCTGAGCAGGAAACAAGATCACAAGCAGCCCCCACATCTCCCTTGGAGGTCACATCTGAATCAATGTCTCATCTCTGCCCCATGGTCGCTGGGAGATGGAATTTGGAGAGCTTGCTAGGGGAGGAGTTTTTCTAGATAGTGAAGAATGGATGGGTATGCAGAGGACGTTTCCAGGAGGCAGAGGTAAGTGACCCTCCTAGTCCAGGTACCTCTCATCCCACACACACACTTAATTTCATGCTGGATCTGCTCCTAGATCACCTGGAAAGGAAAGTGGCCTTATTAGGACCTGGAGCTAATAGGCAGAGCATGAACTTGGCTGTTTATGGTTCCAAGTGCCCATGGCGGCAGCAGAGGAGGAGCCTGGAAAGAAGGCCTTGGAGATCTGCCAAAAATGCAATCTGTGCCCCACTCTTCTAGGCTGAGAACCCCTGTGGACAGAGCCACGTGCTAAGTACTTGGAGAAAGGCAAAGGGAACATCCCAGGGAGTCTCCAGTCTCAGGAGGAGACACAGCCCTTAGCCTCAGAAAGCCTCAGTGTGCTGGGGGGACATCGCCTCCAGCTCTCATCCTCTCAGAGAGCCCCCAGGCAGATCAGGGACAGAAAGCCCCTAGCTTGGAGGGGCTCCAGTATAATAGAGAGGCACAGCATAACTCCAGGGTCCTCACTCTGGTAGATGGGACAGGATGACATACTTTCTTGTACAGGAGAGTAGTACATTTGAGGAGAGGGGCTCCTAAATTTCTTTTTTTTTTTTTGGAGACGGAGTTTCGCTCTTGTTACCCAGGCTGGAGTGCAATGGCGCCATCTCGGCTCACGGCAACCTCCGCCTCCTGGGTTCAGGCAATTCTCCTGTCTCAGCCCTCCTGAGTAGCTGGGATTACAGGCACACGCCACCATGCCCAGCTAATTTTTTGTATTTTTAGTAGAGACGGGGTTTCACCATGTTGACCAGGATGGT